AAGACTTACATATCATTCGATGCACTGGAGGCATTTATCCAAACAAATGAATACCTAACACTTGCCTTGGCTGTCTCAGTGAGTTTTTTCCTAAGAGTCTCAGGGGTTGAAAGCACAACCTCTTAGGTTCTGTGACTGCTCACACTAACCTCCAGTACTCAGGCAAGTGTTCACTTAATTATGCCACTTGATAACACTGCCCTGGAAACTCACGTTAATTCTGGTCATAACAAGAGGTATCCAATATAATTTTGATTTTCCCCAGTCTTGGGTTGGCAAGTTCTGATATCTGAGTGAATGTCAGATCCAGTATCAGGAGAGACTGACATAGGAACAGTGCCAATGTCCTTGGCTGCTTCCCTTTGTCATACTGTCCCCCTCCCCCCATCCTGCTCCTACACCATAATTCAAGGAACATCAATTGGCTGCACATAGCTAATGCGGGAGAATAGGACTAACGTCTGCCAACTCTGGTCAACTTGACCTAATCCTCCAAACAACTCTATGAGATAGGTACTAACATGATCCCATCTCTATAGTGAGAAAGCTGATGCTTAGCAAGGTTAAGAGGCAGAGAAGTGACTTTAACGACTTATCCACTTGGTTCCAATGTTCTTTCTACTAGACCATTCTGCTCCTGACCACACAACACAGATGTTTCTCTTTACTCAGAAATATTACTTAGGATTATAGATATCTGCATACTCATTTCATGTCACCAACCTACTCTATAAGTTCCTTGGGTAAGCACACAGAAGCAGAAAAAACATGGGACTTTGCCATCAAGACATCAGACCTGAGTTCAAATCCCAGCTCTATCACTTACTAGTTGAATGACCTTAAGCTAGTGACTCATCCTCTCTGAGACTCAGTTTACTCTTCTGTAAGATGGTGACGGTACGCACACCATAAGAACTATTGTTAGGGGGCTTCCCTGGTGGCGCAGTGGTTGAGAGTCTGCCTGCCAATGCAGGGGACACGGGTTCGTGCCCCAGTCCGGGAAGATCCCACATGCCGCGGAGCAACTGGGCCTGTGAGCCACAACTACTGAGCCTGCGCGTCTGGAGCCTGTGCTCCTTAACAAGAGAGGCCGCGACAGTGAGAGGCCCGCGCGCCGCGATGAAGAGTGGCCCCCGCTTGCCACAACTAGAGAAAGCCCTCGCACAGAAACGAAGACCCAACACAGCAAAAATAATAAAATTAATTAATTAAAAAAAAAAAAAAGAACTATTGTTAGGATTCAACGAGATGTCTACCAATTACTAGTTCAGAGGGTGGCATGTAAAAATATTAGTTCCCACACTACTTGCCATATAACCTAGAACAAGTCACTTAAACTGATAAGCCTATCTTCCCATCTCTTAAACTAAAAGGAAAAGAATACACTCTAAAGATCACAAAGCATGGTTTTGAGAATGAACCGAGATGTGTCAAAGCTCTTTGTAAAGCCCTAGAAAAATGTAAGGTGTGGTCCCCAACAGAGCTTACCACAATGCCTTGCACAAAATAATTTTCAGTAAATGTTTGGTAAATGCTACATAAAAGAGAACCCTGTTAATACTGACATGTCCCAAATCATGTGAGAGCACTGCTAACTCATGGGCGATCTCTGTCCCCAGAGAACACAATGTGGAGTCAACTCAAAGGAACTTGTTAAGAAACACTTTACTTCACCCTACCATGCAGACCCTGGGCTCTCATCCTCACGCAATATCTAAACCTTCCTCGTGACAGAAAACTAATAAGCCACACGGTGAATAACCTGAACCTCACTTATGATTGGCTCTGGTGTGCTTTTGTACTTTTACAGTCAGGAAATTCGAAACAATTTTACAGGGTACAATGTTACTGTGGAGAAGATAAAATGACATTCAAAACTTCCACCTTCTGTGACCCCACTGTCGTCTTCCAAGCTTCCTCTTACATCTCACTGCTGTAGACAGACATAGGACATCTTAGCCTGCAGTGAAAGTGTCAACCAAAAACTAAACAAGCTCATCTCCAAGAACTGCTAGTTCATACCATCTCTAGTTGGGCTGGAATTAAATATTTCCGTTAAAAGGCCTTCTATTCCATTTCCTGCTGGGTCGGAGTAAATATCCGGTTTATAACAACAGGTTTAATTAAACAGAGCACTTACTATGTCAGCAAGATGAGCCATCATGTGATGTTATCTTCCACTGCAAGTGGAGTACACAGGTAGTGCTCCCTAGACTGCAAGTATCAACAGTTTTCTTCCAGGGATTTCAAGGCACTTTAGTTCCCTTCTAAAACGCTTAAACAATCCTCCATCCTAAAAAAAAAAAACTCAAGCTCATGCTCTTAAATGAGATGAACTTTTCATGTCATTCAAGCAACATGTAGTTGCCCAGATTAACTGTTTTCAGTAACAGTAAGAGCCCTCAGGAAGAACCACAAAGCATCCTCAAAGGTTGGTTTCAAGGGAAAACCAATATAGCTTATTCATAAACAACTCTACGGATGAAGAATGAATAAATGAAACCCAAAGATAGCCCTCCAACCTAATTTTAGTCTTCAGTTTCTGACTCCTTTTTCAAGATTTGGCTAGCAGGCCACAGAGTAAGAAAAGTAAAGATTTCTGGTATTCCACAACCTATTACTTCCGGCTGCTTTCTTGAAAGAGTGGGTAAACAACTAGTTTAATAATGCTAGTAGACAAATGACCAGCAGAAAGCAAAACCCTAAAGGCAAAGATAATCCGCAAACTAATAACCAAGAACCATTTATACTTGAAGTCAAATGTAAGAAAAGAATTGCTTCTCAACAGCTCCCACTTAACAGTCCCACCCACACCACTCCAGCCCCTCTCAGATAAATGGTGGCACTTGGTGGTCATAAGAGCAGAATCCTGTATCTTTTAAATTTGAGAAAATCATCCCTCTTTCAGATAACCTTTCCTTGACTACTCACTAAAGGTTGTTGACAAGCTTCTCATACCCTACAAACACTAAAGGATAACTTAGAGCCCTTTTCACCCTCAACATACCAGGCATAAACTATTTTATTTGAAACTTTTAAAATCTCTTCTGGGGACTTCCCTGATGGCACAGTGGTTAAGAATCCGCCTGTCAATGCAGGGGACACAGGTTCGAGCCCTGGTCCGGGAAGATCCCACATGCCACAGGGCCACTAAGCCCGAGCACCATAGCTACTGAGCCTGCACTCGAGAGCCCGCACGCCACAACTACTGAGCCTGCACTCTAGAGCCCGTGCACCACAACTACTGAGCCTGCGTTCTAGAGCCCGCGAGCCACAACTACTGAGCCCGCGTGCCACAACTACTGAAGCCGTGCACCTAGAGCCCGTGCTCCGCAACAAGAGAAGCCACCGCAACAAGAAGCCTGCGCACCGCAATGAAGAGTAGCCCCCGTTCACCACAACTAGAGAAAGCCTGCACGCAGCAACGAAGACCCAATGCAGCCAAAAATAAAATAAATAAATAATCTCTTCTGCTAACAGAAGATCATCCAAAGACGACCTATACTTTAATAGGAGGACTGAGCCAGTGTTCCAAAAATCTGTAAGTCTAAGAATGGGACATTCTGTACGCAACAGCCTTTAATATGAAACCCAAGACCCTTCTGAATCTGTCCTCAGGCATCAATAAAACAAAAAAGTGTGGCACTTCCCTGGAATCTAGAAAGAAGGGAGCTCCAGATCTGAGGTAACTGCATTCTGCCAGCCTCAGTCACTCTCCTTTGTTTCAGCTGCCTGAGTGTCTCCCTGCTTTGCTGAATTGTAGCAAACACACTACATTCCCAGGAGAGGCAAGAGAGTATACATTATTACAATACTCTTATACAGGGAAAAAAACTTCCACCACACTATCTCAAGAGACTTAAGGCAACAGTTATGAAAATTGAAGGCCTAACTTATTCATTCAGCAAGTACTTACGAAGCACCTACTCTGTGCAAGGCTCTGTATATTTAGTGATGAACAAAACAGGTATAGCTCCGATCCCCACAAAACAAATTTTGGTTAGATAGAAAAGTAAACGAACGATATGCAATTATAATTACAAAAAAGCTATGAAGAGGGTAACCTTAAGTTGCAATTTGCCCAGGACACACCAATCTATACTTGGTGTAAAACAAAAGCACCACCCGCCCCCTTTACTCTCGAAAATGTCCCAGGTTGGACTATAAATGATATGTCACCTTATCTCTGAAGGCTAAGGTACTGTAAGAGAGAATGGGGGCAAATCACTTTAGCCTGAATGAGCAGAGAAAACTTCTTGAAAGAGGTGCCATTAAACTGAGTCCTGATGGATACGACTCCAGTCATTCTGAAAGGGTGTTCCAAGTACAGGGGACAACAAAGGCTACAACAGGGCTTGGGGTATTACTATTATTGATCAACATGAACTTTGGCTAACAGAACTAAAGAATCAGGAAAGTTATTTGAGGGTTCCCAGAGACCAATTTGTGCATCCAAGATTAAAATATCCTAAAACTCTAATTTTGTTAGACCTCGAAATTCAAACATAAAGACAAAAACAAAGCTCTAAGGCAGTGTTTTCAAATTTTTGTAGGTCATTAATCCCTCTGAGAATCTAAAAAAATATTCCAAATCTTCACCCAGGAAACATATATTCTCATGTGCACACATACACAATTTCAGGAGGTTCAGAAGCAACGCCCCTACCCAACCCTCCCAACACTGGAAGTTCACACATGGACTGCAGGTTGTGGTGGGGGGGGGGTGCGGGGAAGCCCTCTTTCACAAAGGACAAAAGCCAGCTCTCAACTCTATTTCTCTATTTGGGCATTAAGACATTTCTTAAAATCTTCTAAAGATACCCAGGAATAAAGAGAAAAGTTAAACTGATATATTTTTTAAAAAATATATCAAAACAAGCAATTGTAAATCACTGAAAAAAATGAGAAACAAACAATGGACAATGTATGTACCACCAAGAGTCAATGAGACTCAAATTTCCCATCATTTTGGAGAACCAGAACTGCCCTCAAGTCCTTACCTTACTAACATTGAGTGAAGCTAGGGGAGGAGGGGTTTCTGTTCGGTCATTAATTATTTCCACTTCTGAAACATACTGTAAGTTTATGAGCAAGATGTCTGCATGGTTGGGCTTTCCACTGGAAGAGGGACATTCTGGTGAAAAAATAAAGTTAAGGAAAATAGGGGCAAGCAGAGAACTGACACATCCCAAAGGGGCCTGGAAAACACAATTCACCCAAGGCTTGTGTAAAAGGTGTGCCACAAGCAAGAGAGGGAGCTTCACAAGAATCACACCTCTCCTCAGGAAATCTCTGCCTGTCACTTTCCTGCCGCACAACCCCATAACCAAAAGATCTCAAGCTTTTCAAAGCCAAACACAATCCAAAATTGGAAGCCTCAACAGTGTTTCTGTCACCTTCTCTTTACCGGTTTTATGAAGAGGCTTAATACAGTTTTAACGCCGTTATGTATACTGTTTGTCTTGAACCTAATGAACCACACTGAAGAGCAAGTACTTTCTGTTCTTGGTATAATACTCCCTATATCCGAACAGTGCTCTTTTCTCTTTTTCAGATTTGAGATTTCCCATTTTGCACAGGAAAACTACCACAATGGAAAGGAAGCTCACTCAAGGTGACCCAGCTAGCTAACCCATTCATTCATTAATTCATTCATTCACTCACTCACTCATTCTCCAACCATTTCTCAAAAGCATACTGTATGTCAAATAAAGGTAGATTAATTCTTCATTCCAAAACCCTTCCAACTAAACCACTAACATAAAAGGTCTTACTTGGTCCAGGTATGAAGTCTTGTGTTCAAAAAACAAAAACAAAAATTCAAAAAAAACCCGCAACTGTTCTTGATGTAATTAGTTTCAAAGGACACCTTCCTAAGCTACAAATCCACAACCAGTAGTTAAATGAATTAAAATACTTGCCAGTCAAAGGCAGCAGCAGACTCAGTAAGAAACTTCCTTTTGAAAAGTGCCATAAGAGATTACTTTAAAAAAAAAAATCCAAATAAACCCACCTGTGGCTCAAATAAAAGGGGAAGGGGTGGCACATTTATTACAACCAGGTAGTATTCCGTTTCCACGACTGAGTTTCCTGGAGTAATTCAGAAATCACTTCCACCCCAAAGAAAGAGACCACCTTTTCCATTCTGTTAAACACTGACACATTCAAAAGGGAAGGCTACTGCTATGGAGAAGTCAGGACTCCATGTGCTGGGCTGACAAGAGAAGACAGTTTACTCTTTCACCTGTAACCCACACGTCCATACATAAGCCCCTGAAAAACGTGGTCCTCTCTCTAGACCAGGTTTCCAATACAAACATCCCCCAAACAGCAACTTCCAAATCACTGAGAAGCCGAAAATTCAGCACTCCCTGCCCCCAGCGGCACCACGCATACACAAGCACCAGCAAAACAAGCCCCTATCCCCAGTTCAGCTACAAACTCTGTCCTGCAGTTACTCTCCCCGCAAACAGGCGAGGCCCATTTGGTCACCACCCCAGCGCCCTTTCTTGGACCAAATCCCATCAGTGGACAACCCCTCCTGAACTCCATACCCTTGCCCCACTCACTAGCAGTTCCTTACTCTACACACCCCCTCCCCACATGATTTTACCCGTCCCCCTCCCATCCGGGCTCCAATCACCAGCCCCCTCCCACGACCACCCCTCTCCGGATTACTGTGTCCCCTCTCCTAGCGTTCCCCCCGAAAAGCCATCAGCGTGTCAAGCCCCCCTCCACCCACCCACCCTCGTTCGGGGCCCAGCTCCCACAAGAGGTGGGAGACAAGGGTCCCCAAGGCGGACCGAGGGACCCACGAGAGGGGGAGGGGAGCTCAGGGCCGTGCGCATGCGCTCCGGGCGCCGCGGTAGCCGGTCGCCCCTAGGCCCGGAGAGGGCCCCAGCCACCGCCGTCGTCCCCCGCCCCCCCACCGCCGCACATACACGCCGGCCCGGCCTCGGGCTCCGCGCAGGGAAGGATACTTAAAGCCAGCATCTTGGACTGGTAGTCGAAGGCTACCACCTCGCCCTGCAGCCGCTGCTCCTGGCACGTCCGGCACGACACCTGGCTCCCAACGCTAAAGTACTCGCCCGGAGGAGCCGCCATCTTGGGAGAGCAGCCGCGGCCGGCGGCGGCGGCGGCAGCAGCGGGCGAAAGCCGGGCCCCCAGTGAGCGCCGCACCGCGACGCACGGGGCGTGCTGACGTCACACGCTAGGGCGTGGTCTGGACTGGGTGGGGCGGGAGCCTAGGTGGATAAGGAGAAAAGAGGAAATAAAGAGGAATGTGAATAATTACGTTTGTGCGGCTGCGCCCGGTTCGTAACAGGCTTGCAAGGTCCATTTTAGAAGTTAAAGATAAATGACCTACGTGGAATGAAAAGGGGAGGGAGGAGGGAACTGCAGTGTCCATTATATGCACACCTTGACACAAGAGTTTGATGAATGAACTCTATATTTTACAAATGAGGAATCCGAGGCCCAGAAGACTTAACTAAACTTGCTCAAAACGGTTACACCTAACTACAAAGTGGTAGTGGAAAGAACATTGGCTGTAGAGCTAGCTAAAACGGAATCGGAATTCCACTGCGTTATGTGACCTTGAGGAAATTACTAAGCCTGATTCTTTTCTTTATTCCTTCTGTATTATCACTGTTGAGCATCCAGCAACCCTTCGATGTAGGAATCAATATCCTCATTTTACAGAGGAAGAAACTAAGTCTTAGACTAAACTTTGTCCAGGGTCGCACAACTAGCAAGGATCCGCTCTACCTGTTTCCAAAGACGGTGCTATTTACTGCTATGCTACATTAGATACCTCACAGAGTAGTTAGGAGGAGCGGGAGATAATGAGATAATGTGTACAAATGCATGGCATGTAGTAGATCCTCAATAAATGGTAGGTCCTCCGTGATCACCCATCACTGTTGGAACTCAAGATGCTTCCCCATCTCCCATCTTGCCCTCTCCTCTAGAAAACCGGGCTAAGAGCCAGAATGAGGAGCAATGGTATTGACAAAGGGAGCCTTGGGGCAGGAGTTTTGGGCCCCCCATTAATGACTATCTAATATACGAAACAGTTTTCTTAACATGTAAGTACGATGCAGATGCATTTTCAAGCCCTACCATCACCAGTTGCCATCCCTAACCCACCTTCCCTTCCACTAAAATTCTAGAGCCTCATGTATGAGTAACGACAGGCAAAGAGAGGGAGGCCTTGCAAGAGACATCAACTTCCTAAAGCTGTGCCCATGTTAGTACAATCATTGTAATAGAAATAAACATACTGCTCCCTCATACTTGGGTTTTTCCAGAGAACTTTCACATCTACCCCATAACAAGTCATACGTAACTGCCACTCCACCTTTTATATAACATTGTGATTATAGGTTCTCATAAATGACTGCCAGGCACTGTTAGGAAAAGCTTCCTGGAAGAAGTGGAAAAATCTGAGACCTGAAAGACAAGCAGGGAAA